TTTTAAACTGGGATTAAACTCAGGCCCTTACACTTGCCAGAGAAGCGCTTATTCCACTGAGACATCTCTCTGGCCACTGTAACCCACATTTAAGGCAAAAATAAAATCAGCTCTAAAGTAATTGTGCTTGGGCTGGGGAGATAGCTCAGTGGTGTAAGTGCCTGCCTGGCAAGCAGAAGGTCCTGAATTTGAACCCCAGTAACAAAAGTTAATCAATCAATCAATCAACCAACCATTATGCGGAAGCATAGAAAAAATCAGAATTTGTATTATTGTGTGACATAGTAGTCAACAAATAAATGCTTTAAAATGATTAGAAAATTAAGAAAGCAATATTTAATAAATCTATTAGCAAACACTATTTTAAAACTCAAAGATATATAATAGAAAACATTATAACTGATTAGAAATTCCAAATGCTAGAAGCTCTTGTTCTGTCTTGGAAATCATCATGTAAACCTATAATTTTTTTCCATAATTTTATTGAGAAACAAAGAGCAATGAGACAGTTTCAAATCAAACTGGTAGGACAGTTTCAATAATTAACACACTGCATACTCTCTTCCTATGGATATTTGCTGTACAAGATGCAGACATGATGTCCTATTCACAAACACTATTAGAACAAATACGTCTACTCATTAAGAGAATGTAACTATATATCTATATTAATTATTTTGAATACACAGATACAAAATGGTCATTCTTCTGTATTCACTTTTTTGTTCAGTTCCATCATTTGAATATTATAGGTGTGTGAACTCAGCAAAATATTCTAAAAGAGTCCATTAGTCCATAATAGTATTGGGTCTTCCGCATCACTGGCCATGTCAGACATTGTTAACCTGAATACACTACAGCCAACATAACAACATGGCTTTGTTTGTTATACTTCCTTTTTATACTTTTCTGCTGGATGGTTAAAACCAAGATAAAGCAAGACCCATGCAACAAAAGTTGTGGAGTTGGATCTGATAAGGCCAGTCAAATTCCCTCAGAATTTTTCCTGAGACCCTGTATCTCAGATTGTAGATGTTTTGTCAGTGTCAGCCATGTGCATGAGTCACGGCCATTGCTTGGACAATGTGCTCTCTGTGAAAGCCTGAGAGAATGTTTTCTTTCCATGTGACTCTCCTTGGGCACAATCTACATCATCGATCACTTTCATCTTTGGTTCCATAATCTCCTTGATCAGATAATTTGGGACACAACTCAGTTAAATGATGTTACAGTATATGTTCTCATATGTCCTGAGTCTTAATGGACCTTGGAAGGCTAGGCCCAAAATGTTGGTTTTCCTTGAGGCCCTCCTTTTTCTCTAATTTTCGTCTGCAAACATAGGTTGCTAACCCTCCAGAAGAGAAGCTTACTGTTATTTCCATACAACCTAGGCTGTTAAGCTTAACCTCACTATCTATCTGAATATCAAACATCTTAGACATAACATTGAATAGGTATTTTGCATCAAATATTGATAGGTTGAACTTTAAGTCCCTACAGAATATGATGAAAAAATTAAAAAAATGAAAATATACTTCAAAAATAGGTATAAATAATTATACAATTCTTATGTTTACACATAAGTCCAGAAATCTAACCATATACAACCTTGTAGCAAGCCAGTCCCGCAGCATTCCTTTTCCTGTCTCCTGCCTTCATTCACCACGCCCTTCTTTTTGAACAATCATCTATGCAAGAGACACCCCAGCAGCAACTGGCATGTCATGACAAGCAGCCCGTATTCAGAAGACCAGAATGACAGGCACTCCAAGCATGAACCTACTATTACAAATTGCCATCTTCAGTGCAGCTGCTTAGTTTCACAGATGTCAGTATATATAGTTAGTCAGGGTGAGAATCCTTCCAATTAACTGCTAGATTCAAAAATTTCTGGAGATTCTCAGGATCATTGCCTTGCCCATATTCTACATATAACTGTATAGCTTGCCACCATCATGCTTCATACCTCTTCTCCTTTCCCTCCGTTAATTACTTAGTTCTCAAGTTGTTGCTTTCCTTTTAGTTGTATTATACCTTTCTATTTGTATTTCTTCTTTTCAGTTCTTATACTAGTGAAACTGTACAATATTTACACATGTGTGTTTGTGGTTTATTTCACTTATGAGTATATTTTCTTTTTTTTTGTTTCCAATCTTTTTTTCCATAATTTTATTGATAAACAAATAGCAATGAGACAGTTTCAAATCAAATTGGTAGGACACTTTCAATAAGTAACACATTGCATACATTCTTCTTAGTGGATAATTGCTGTACAAGATGCAAACATGACATCCTATTTACAAATACCATTAGAACAAATCACTCTATTCATTAACAGAATGAAACTATATAACTATCATAACCACTTGAATACACAGACACAAAATGGACATACATCTGTATACCCTTTTTTTGTTAAGTTCCGTTATTTGAATATTATAGTGTGTAAACTCAGCAAAATATTCGAAAAGAGTCCAGTAGCCCATAATAGTATTGGGTCTTCCGCTTGGCTGGCAATGTCAGAAATTGTTGACCTGAGTCCCCTACACTTCAACATAACACCATGGCTTTACTTCTGATATTTAGTTTTTATACTTTTCTGCTGGATGGTTAAGACCAAGGAAAAGCAGGACCTATGCAACAAGAGTTGTAGCTTTTGGGTCTGAGAAGGTCAGGGAAATCCACTCAGGATTTACCCTGAGATCCTGTACCTCAGATTGTAAAACCTTTGTCAGTGTCAGCGATGTAGATGAGTCATGGTCAATGCTTGGCCAATGTGCTCTCTGTGAAAGCCTGAGAGAATGTTTTCTCTCCATGTGACTCTCCTTAGGCACACTCTACATCGTCGATAACTTTCCTCTTTGGCCCCATAATCTCCTTGATCAGAAAATTTGGGACAGTACCGAGTTACATGACGTTACAGTACAAGTTCTCATATGTCCTGAGTCTTAATTGACCTTAAAAGGCTAGGGCCAAAATGTCAGCTTTCCTTGCAGCCCTCCTTTTTCTCTAATTTTGGTCTGCAAACTTAGGTTG